TGGTAAGTCTTTCGATTTCAATAATCCTAGGCCTAGAGCAAGGCATAATCAATGAAATGAAATATTAGTTAAGTGTCTAAAAACGGATTTCTAAGATTATCAATTACATCATACAAAGACACAATGTCATTTCTGAATGCTTCTTGAAATGATAATGTTTTTTTCATGATGAACTTTATTAGTTTCACTAGTGTTCACAAAACATTCAGTAATATTTTCAAATTCATTTTCCAACCTAGCAATTCCAGGCCTAGCAAAAATCCATCTACTGTATTTTCCTTTAATTCAACAGCACCAATATCTTCTTTGGCACAAGCATTATCAAGTTCGTGGGCTTGGTCAATAGCCATATACCAGAAAATGTCTTCTCTGTCTGGTTAATCACAAAATTTCCGTGGACGCATGTTCAGTGAATTTCTCGATTCGTTTTTGGTAAATGAAGCATATCACGCAGATGAATTGGCAACCATCGTGAATAGTAGGTGTGATACAAAGCAAAGAACCAAGGGATGATCTTCCCGAGAGCTTCTAGATATAACATGAAGTTAGTCTGACGTATAGACCTTACAAATACCAATACTGTCAATTCAAATTGCAGGGTTAAATACCATAATTTAAAATGAGGAGATTCTGTAGATCTTTCCAAACACCACTTTTAGAATTTTAAGATTATCTCATCATCATTCAAAGAATAATTGTACTGACAGTAAGTGTCTGACAATAACGGTAAAGTGTAATGGCTATTCTTTGGTATGATCTACGTGATTTTGTAACATGAGAAGCCTTCAATAATGAATCTACTGTATCGTGTGATGTAATCAGGGCATTTACTCAAACACTAGTCCACACGCTATCTTCAAGCCAATAACCAAGTGCTTTGAACGGAGCCATTTCTACGTGTAGGCCGCCGAACATCATGACAAAGTTTTCCTCACCATACATTAGAGGCAAGTTCCATTGTATTAGTTTTGCTACTGCGAAATGTGGTTGATCAAAAGCAACAACTTGAGTTTGACCTCGATTTGGCTTTCTTACTGCTCTACGAATAATATTCAAAGAAGGTCGTTTCATTGCAACACATTTAGCTTGTTCGTGAAACAGAGATAGAACAGACGTTGCTGGTAGTTTATACCCATCTGGCAACGATAAAGCATAAAAAGGTTGTCCCAATTTCAGCCTTAACTCTTGAATTTTCCGCTGATGTTTGAGCCATTTGAGTTCCCCTTTTAATGCAGATGGGAATGAAGACATATCAATTAATAGTTCTCCTTCCACTAATGATATATCTGGTTTGCCGAATCTCAATACAGTTGGTGGGAGATTCGAATACCTCTTTGGTAAAAGATAGACTGTCTTTGACTGACATCTAAATTAGCTTCAGATTTGTCAAACGTTTGCGAAACTAATTGAATAACCTCCCAAATATATCGGAATAAAGACAAACTGGTATCTTTTAATGATATACTGCTTGGAATGTGGTCAATTTTGTATGCAGCAGATGAAGTGAATATATTTTGAAGAAGATGGGAAGGGCAAACAAAAATACCTTCCTGGATATTACGACAATTAGCATCAGTGGCCATCGACGTAGAAATTTCTAACACTCTGTCGTAGGAAACAGATAGTCCACGTTTAAAGAAAGTGTCTACTAGATCATGTTTTCTAGTCTTACAATGAATCATGTTTCCCAAAAATGCACACACTGGGGGTTCATGGTCTTTCATGTAACAGTTACCTAGTAGTCAGCACTATTGTGATGACACAAATATCACTGATATGTTTATATTTTGCTATATTTGCCACTAAGGAGGAAGAAATAATATTCGGAAATTCGGTTCATTAGGTTATTTTAACTGCTTTCATCCAAGCGCCAATAATGAGTTCATGAGAACGAAACGCGAATCACCCGTTTCAAATTATAAGCCTTTTATTTTTTATGTGTTTTTACAACCACTAGGTCGAAGCCACTGCTGGTGAACATTTCGTCACCGAGGTTATCACCATTAAAGTAGTCAGCACATTTTTGCTGATATGAAATATTATTGATAACTATGTTTGTTTTCTGTAAATTTACTGTTTATTAAATATGAAATGTTCAAAAGCTGAGAATATGAACGGTCCTGAACGTTGAGTCCAAACTGAATGATACTGACCAAAGAAAGCAATTACTAAGGTACAGAAGCTTCTTATGGATTTTCATAGATGGTTTCATATTCAAAAATGTTCATAAGCATCATAACTAACACTGTGGAAAGTTTCACGCATTTACTATATAGAGGTCAATTATACCAATATATTGGATATAGCTTATTGACTTTTTGCACCATTACGGCTTAAGATGGCTTCAGATCCAAAAATGTTCATCAGCATCATTACTAACAATTATCAAAGTTTCTAACTTTTACACTAAAGTGGTCAACATATTGGACTTATAGCCTCTTGACTATTGGTGGCCATTTTGAATTTGGCGGCCATTTTGTATTTGATGGCCATTACGATTTTTTTTAGATGGCTCCATATCTAAAAACGTTTGTTAGCATCATAAATAGCACTGTGCAAAGTTTCATGCTTTTATTATAATGTGATCAATCATACCAATATATAGGACTTAGCCTCTTGACTTTTGGCGGCCATTTAGAATTTTGGCGGCCATTATGGATTTTTTTTCAGATGGCTCCATTTTCAAAAATGTTTATTAACATCATAACTAGCACTGTGCAAAGTTTCACGCATTTACTATATAGAGGTCAATTATACCAATATATTGGATATAGCTTATTGACTATTTGCACCATTACGGCTAAAGATGGCTTCAGATCCAAAAATGTTCATCAGCATCATTACTAATAATGGTCAAAGTTTCTAACTTTTACACTAAAGTGGTCAATATATTGGACTTATAGCCTCTTGACTATTGGTGGCCATTTTGAATTTGGCGGCCATTTTGAATTTGGCGGCCATTTTAGAAGTTTTTAAGATGGCTTTATATTCAAAAATGTTTATAAGCATCATAACAAATACTGTGCAAAGTTTCATGCTTTTACTATAAAGGGATTAATTATACCAATATATTGGATTAGTCTCTTGACTATTGGCGGCCATTTTGTATTTGATGGCCATTACGATTATTTTTAGATGGCTCCATATCTAAAAACGTTTGTTAGCATCATAAATAGCACTGTGCAAAGTTTCATGCTTTTATTATAATGTGATCAATCATACCAATATATAGGACTTAGCCTCTTGACTTTTGGCGGCCATTTAGAATTTTGGCGGCCATTATGGATTTTTTTTCAGATGGCTCCATTTTCAAAAATGTTTATTAACATCATAACTAGCACTGTGCAAAGTTTCATGCTTTTACCATAAAGTGATCAATTGTGCCAAAATATTGGACTTAGCCGCTGGACTTGTATAGGTATGACTTAATTCTGTACACGAAGGTTCAAGTTAAATTGCAATATACATTTCTTCATTTTAATGCCTATTTTGTCCATTTTTAATCTTGGAATTCTATTGAATGTGTCAGATATTCATATTTGAGAAAAAAAATCAAGAAGAACAAACTGTTTTAATCAGGGTTTTTCTCAAAGCAGAATAAAACTAAAAAATGTTTACTAAAATCAATTGCATCAGCTTCAAAACAAAGAATATAGAAGGTCATGATGAAATATCAAGGCAATGTAGTATTTACAGAATATGACTTATATCTGACTGCTAACCAGACAAAAATGATTATCTTTATCAAATTAATTAGTTCAAGCTACTTTATATAAAAAATAACATAACTATAGTGTAGAATGTATTATGAAAAATCAGTACAAAATCAAATAAAATGAGTACTGCAATCAAGGAAAATCTCTTTCTGCTGTACTCTGTTACAGATAGTATCAATGTCCACATACTTCTCATATAGCTATTTTTCAAGTCAATGTCTGTAAATATGTAGCATGCTATCATCATCTTCTCGCAACTGTTAATCAATAGGGATTTTTATTGGGGGGGGGGGGGGGGGGGTCAAATTTTTGAAACTGTGTTCTAAGGGGAAGGGGGGGGGGGGGGGGTCATTATGTGATTTATTAGAATTATCAATAAAACTTTTTAATGTAAAAAATTGAACCGACCCCCTCAGCTGATAAATAATGACCATTCCCTTAGCAAATGATTAATACAATGTTTTTGAATGTTGTTCAAAAAATTTGTCATTCCTTTTCTGGTAACTTATGAATTATGTGTAACTCACAACATTCCACGCTAGCATTTAGTTTGACCATCTTCTTTAATATGATCACTGATTTCTATTATCATCTAAACATTTTTAGGAATTTTCATTATCCAATCAAATTACGTTAACTGAGGATTACGTTTACTGTGTATTTCCGTAACATTTACCTAGATTGAAGTGTCATTATAGATATTTAAAACAGGTGCAGTCACACAAAATGTTCCTCCTCTACGGTCTGTCGGAATTATCATAACAACTCAAAGGTTATATTTCTGTGATATTAGTGCTACATTTCATATTCAAAAGTAATCATACAACATGTACAAGAACTTGAAACATGACTTTTAGAAATAGGATGAAATTGGATTTTGACAGTACAATATCCATGTAAAGAGTTAAGCGTTAAACATTTTTAATAGACCTGGTGAGTTCAATAAAATATTGCTTATCAAATTCATATTGAATTTCGATAACAGGAAAGCCGTTATCAAATCATGTTGATTTGTATTACAGTGTATTAACGTTTACTTTTTTATTGTATCAGTCATATTTGATTGATTTAGTTATTATGATGTCGAAGTTCACATTATATTTAATGTGTCCGAAATATTCATTTACACCTTGAAAATGTTAGATTATAAATTTATATTTGTACAATAATTATGGTCATTTTACAATAGTTCTATTTAATCCGTAATTAGTATGTATTATAAAGACACAGGTGAATAAATCATTTCGATAATGTATTTAAAAAGGTAAAATTCATTTATTATAGGACTATAGATTATAGGATATGCCGACGACAAAAAATGAACTGCGCTCGGATTAGATGTAAAAGTATGTATCATGTTTGGTTAATATTTAATGATATTTAATACTGCTTAATACTTATATTTGGAGTGATTAAAGAATTTGGAATTTTACCAACATGTTTATGTCCATTGTACTGGAGTGCTAACTTGAATGTAAATGAACTGTCAACTAGATTCTCGTCCACTAACTCAAAACCCAATATCTCATATATTGGTCATTCATGCACCAAAACCAAATATTTCATAAATTGATATCGTGACATCAAACTTGACGTAACTTGTTCGTGTGGTTTAGTACATAAACAGATGACGTGAAAAAAATGGTTTCCCAACTTTCTATATCATCCCCACAGACGGGTATCCCACTCAAAGTCATTTTAGCCATTTCATCACAAAACGCAAATTCGATCTGAAACAATATTACAAATAGTCAATTTAAACCATAAACAATAAAAATGTTTACATTTGAAAGTCCGAACGCAGTCCTGAAATAATAATTTTACTTTTGTTTTGACAACCAAATAACGTGGCAAGGTTCCAGGTAACAAGGTTTGATGTGGTCATTTTGTAAACAGAATGTAGATAACGGATTGATCCCGGTTATCAAAATGAATTACTTACCTGTCATTTTATTATATATACAAATAAATGATCAAATATTGGAAAAGTATTGAACACATATAAATTCATAGTTGAACAAGTTAAAGGCGTAAATAAATATTTCAGACACATGAAATATAATGTGAATTCCGAGATCATTAATATAAAATAAATTTAACATGACCTGATACAAAAACAAAAAATAAATGTTAATAAACTGCAATGCAAATCAACATAATTGAATAACGATTTCCCTGTTATCAAAATTAAATATTTATTTGATAAGCAATATTCAACTGAACTGATCAGGTCTATCAAAAATTGTGAAACGTTTAACTCTTGTCCTGGATATTTAAATGTCAAAATCCGGTTTTGCTGTGTATCTCAAAAGTCACGTTTCAAGTTTTTGTATGATCACTTTGGTATATGAAATTAAGCATTAAAATACACGATTTGGTGGTCAATACCACCTTTAGGTGTCTATCTCCCTAAACAATACTCCCCTAGTGGTAAAAACTGGTGAATACTGGTCGATTCAAAATGCTATGGTGGTCTTTACAATTAATTAAAGTAAAAACATGGTTAAGCGAGGAAATTTTTTTAATTTCTTTCTTCTTTCTTTTTGCATGATGCAGTTAATTAAAAATCTGGTATTGGTATATTTTTATTAATTTTTTATTTTAAACATATTTCATTCATTCGGATATGAGAAGGATTAAGTAAAAGTTGTCTCTACACAGTTGAACGGCAAACGCCTGAATCTGACAGATAGAGGTCAATTTGTCGACAAAAAAAGTACCCGTATGTAAAATGTTTACGCCCACAAAAAGCGCCACCTATAATTTATTCTACGGCGTCTTTGAGAACGATGTTCCGTTCTGTAGTAAATTAAAACATTAAACTAACTAAAACATAGAAAAGTAAGTGTATAAAACTAATTAAAAGATATATTTGCACATGACTGGTTATGCATGATACGCTGGCAATGTGCGCAATGTCCTTTAATCCAAGATTCAAAATTAGTTTGTTTCCTATGTCAAAATGGCGGATTCCAATGTTTACATTTTTCCATCGATTTAAGAGCTGACACAAATTCGTATCCAATCATTAATTTGCATATTATGTACTGTGTAGGGTAGCTTATCCAATGGGATTTACTGTTATAAAGTGGCTATACGTTACCATCCATCGTTACAACAGTGCCATGTGTTTTGTGTGTATAGCTCAGGAATGATGTGTATTCAATATTTACGGTAAATAATCAATGTTATGTTCATTATATTTCCATGCATACACAAGTCATAACAGCAAATGCATTTTTTATAGAACTTACTAGGTAAACAGACATGTTTAACTGTCTGCTTTAGCAAAAATTCGTGTAAATAAACCCGATGGGTCGTTTTGAATATTCAAGCACAGCAGACAAACACGTGGTAGATTATTGATGTTTGTTTACCTAAATTGCACGCTGTTGTTACTAAATACTTAGAAATAACCATTATCGTGTTATTATTGTTTAACAGCAGATAAAATTAATTTTACAATTGCATTTAACTACTTTCAAGAGTTATATAATACACCTTGCCTAAGAAATAGGTCTTTACTAGGTCCTTAAAAAAAGAGGCTGTAATAATGTACATGATGTAAATTACCATATTTACATTCCAGCATTTTTTTGCATTTGATATATTTCATATACATGTACATGTATGTACATAGAGCACAATAGAGTAAATGAACATACATGGGTTTAATTCCCACCCTAGGTATTAATTTTAATACTCATTAGAGGTTGGGGCAAATAGGGCAGATTGCAATCGACCATAATGTAGTGTCTAAAAATGCTGATCGGTGTGGCCAAGTCCTCAACAACCTTTTTTCTAAGTATACAGCAGCTCCTTTAAGGATTAGTAAGGGAACACTTTACATATAGTCCAGTGGCTAAGTCCTGTCTTTTTTGTCTCTATTATTTCCTTATTTATATTATTATATTTCTTATATTCTCTTGTACATGTAGTAAGCTAAAAAGCTATCATTACTCTTTTTCCTCATCTGCCTGATAACAATGAAATGTATTCATTGTTGATGTCTGTAAAGTGACTTATAACATGTATAATTTAACTGCTAACAGACATTTGGACTCTGGTGGATAGTTTCTATACTGTTATTTCATTGGCAATCATACCACATCTCTTTATTTTAGTACAGGTTAAGTATTTAAAGTAAGTGACTAACAAACATTAAATCATTTGAAAGAAAAATTCTGCAATGATTTCAGTTTACATATATCAACAATAAAATTTGGTTGTATAAATTGTGTCATTATGTTTATAATGACCACTGTAATTGTGAACTGCCATGACTGTCTTGTACAAAATATATTTGAATAAGTTCCCTAATAAATAGTATATAGATGTTTAAAAAAACAAATGTATGTACTAGTTCCAGATCTATCAATTCAAAAATAATTGATGTTTTTTTTAATTAATTGAATAATAACAACTTATTGCAATAATCATGATAATCATGATATTAAAATACAAACTAGCATTCTTATATGTGATACAATATATAACTTAAATGCAGCTTATTCTGAAATTGTAAGGTATGTCATAAAAAAGAGATTTTTTGTAAAAGTTACCAAAATTGTCTGTATTTCAACCACATTTAGGCCTAGGAACCTTAAATTTTTAAGTGTAGAGGTTGACAAGTCATGACTGTAAATTCAGATATTATCATGAGGTTTGTATTAAAGTAAATAATGCGATTAAATTGATTATCTCAATAAAAAGAACTCTCATTCTGATTTGATACTATGAGATTTTTTCTGATATTAGAAAAATAAATATCTCATTGTTGTCCATTCTTCAAAAAATTTCTGAACATACTGTACATGTATTTAAGTCAGCTTTGTTTTTGTCTGAGACTACTATAACATGGGAAGTGACCAATCTCTATGTTAATTGTTATAGTAGTCTCAGGTTTTTGTTTTGTAGTTCAATTGACTATGCATTTTAGAGCAGTTAAATATGAATTTGGATTAAATTTGAAGTTGATTCAGTATATTTTATGACATAATAACACTCTTTTATTTAAACCAAGCATTTTCAGACTTTATTTACAGACCAGCTTAGCTAATCATTCATTATTCAATCAATAATTTAATTAAAGGACTCAACAGTTGTTTGTAGGACTTATGAATTCAAATATAAGGGAAAAAAATCAAAACTTGAAGTAATACATGTAATAGGAATTATGAGAACTGCATGATATCAGATTGCAATACAGCTTTTTGTTCAGTTTTCTTTGTGTTGATTATAATGTTTTAAATCCCTTTCTGGCTTTTTGGATGTTCAGATTTTTTCTCTTGATTAAGAGCGAGCAACGGAACTTGTACATCTTATATAGTTTCTTATCTCGGGGGTGGATCAAGCAAATTTTCAAAGAGGAGGGGGCATGTATTGTCAGCATTTTCTTTTTTTCCATATTGTATTTTAATGTAATGCAAAGTTAAATTCTATTGTAACACAAGTTCTGCTGACAAATGGCTGATAAACCCCTCTTGTATGTAATTATTTGGCATGAAATGAAATATGTTTTTTCTGTATATGGAAATTAGGAATAATCCACCCTCTCTTTATAAAAGACCTGGATCTGCTTAAAAATTCTTGCTTTTCTCAGGATTTTCCATTGTTACATCAGGAATAAAGGCTACCAATAATCATGCTTGACGATCATTGAGGTCACACATAAAGAACCCATCTCTTTGCAGATCATAGTAGAAAAACAAAGATACAATGTAGTTGGTAACATAAATGTATTTTAAAATATCAAGAGAAACATTCCCATACAGAATCTCTGTCAATAAGTTATTTTTCCACTCTTAACAGTGAAATCTTAAATATGTAAATTGATCGGCAAGCCTCACATCTTGAAAAATAAAATGTCTGTAGGAAAGAACTATTGTTTCACAATTGATGCTGTGTTAGAATTTATAATATCACTCTTTTTTCTCCATATGTCATCAGCATAAAAAGTGACAAGTTCTTCAGTCTAAATAACTTTGTTAAATCTCATTTCTGATGGAACATTTTCAGTGCACCAGATTAACAACTTTCTATGTTAGATACTTATTTAAATATAAAAATTCAAGTCTAATTTTAGAGTGAAATTTTAATATATTTAAACAAACTGTTCTAAACAACCAACATGTACAAACACTGAGTTTATTTTCATATCCTTTCTAAGAATATTGATACAAAGAAAGTAAAACAAAGACTTGTATCATTCCATCTACCAAAAGGGTGTTTGAGAATATACAAATAAGTCCAAGTTTCAGAGAAAAGTCAGTTATCTATAATTTTCTTCTTTGGAAGTTTTCAAAAACCTGTTTTAGGGTACTTGAAAAAATGCCATATTCAAACA